TGCATAAATTCTTTTCTTGAACGTGCATGGAAATCCACTGTTTAGGTCAAACTATGCTCTTGTATTTTTGTTTATTCAGCTCAAAAGGTGGAATATTCTTTCCCAGCGAGCAGAGTCCGGTAAAGTTAAATCTCATATACCATACTATACTTCTTGAATTGGTACTCATAGTTTTCCATGGATGAAAAAGAAGCTCTGCTTTCGAAGTATATATATTTTATCATCCAGAGAGATACTATCGTTCTTCCAACTAAAGAAGATAAATCACGTGCTTGCACATAGACCAACTCAAAAAAGAATCAAAAGTGGAGGCTGAATATACATTAATCTACAAATTGATCATCAACTGTAACTTCCCCAATCTGGCAAACCCACTGAATGAATAAAAGCAATTCCATGTTGGAGGGAGTAATTTTATATATAAATGGAAATAGAGTTATTAGTTACTAGATTTACATTACTCGAAAGAGTAAAATAATATAGTTGAGTAAATAAAACCATAATATATATATCCCTATAATTATATTATTGAATTTTTAAGGTTCTTAGCTTGGTGGTGATGGAGCTGGGTATATATACCAATGACTCTTGTTTCTTTCGGCTTCAAGAACCAAAGGGTGACCACTTAGAGATTCTTCCATTAAGAGGAGACATAGCGATGGTGGAACAGATGACTAATCATAATTCAAATCTCATCCTTATCCCTGAAAGATAAAGCAGCTCTTGACTGGTCTAATTTTGTTCCACTCCTTCAAAAGCACCATTGATAAAGAAATTTCCACGCTCAAGGACTTGGTACACAATGACCACATCATTATCTCTAATAATTAGAGCAAGGAGAAGGTTCCCATTGAAGCAAGATACATGGAGAAAACATTATGGGTATTAAAATACTTATCTTCCTAATTTGAATTATAATTTGTTTTATACTGTTATTGATCACTTAAAATTATGACTTTATAAGGCTGCAACTAGATTTTCACCATTGGAATTGCATCATAATATTAAAAATCTTTCTAGTAAAGTGATGCTATTGAAAAAGTGAGGACTTGAAACTTTTGCCGTCACATAGGAAAGAAATATTACTTTAAGCATTTTATATTTACGTTCTAATTTGCATAAATTTATGTTTATTTTAATATTATTAATTATAATTTTTTTTACGAATTTATAAACATATAATTGAGACAATATCAAGACACCCGAAGTTCAATGAAGAAGAGGGACATAATTTAAGTTTTGTTTGAATGTAGCATTTACTTCCCCTCTCTTCCACCCTTATTTTCGCTTTCCATGTTCCTTTCAATCTTATACTACGGTGTTTCTTTTTAATGTTTAAAATTTTGTATAAAATTTTAAAAAATAATTAGTATTCTAAATCTTACAAAAAATATTATTTAATTTTTATCATACCTTTTATTAACTGTACTAATTAATACTTTATTTATTTGTTTACTTATTGTCCTTTACCAAATATACATTAATTATTAAGGATAGGTTAATATAAAAATATTTATTCATTAATTTTATAAAATAAATAAACAATAATGACTAAAGTGTCAAAGAAGAAAATAATAAATAAAATATTATTTTTGTGAAGAAATATTGCGTAATTACAGAGTGCTTCATAAAATTTAAATTTAAATTATATTAATTAATAGATTTTTTATCTAACAAAAACTAAACTCTTGATATAAATATTGAATTATTACCAATAGTATGATGTACTATGCTAACAACATAATATGTCTGTTATATCAATTTTTCGTACCAATAATATTTTTGTTAATATAATATACTATATTATTAGTGTTGACATATTATATTAATAGTTTAATTTTATTAAACAAAAATTATACCAAAAAAATAAAAATAGCTAGAAACAATTATTATATAGGATATTTTGTAGTTTATTTTGTTCATTTCTGTAAATTACAAATTTGAATTCTCTTATTTTAAAATGTGATAGTATTTTTTGTATGTATTCTCTTCTAATGCAGTCATGATCACGTGTAAATCAACCTCTTTTTCCCGTAATTACTTATTCACTTAATGATTTTTTTAAGTTTCTTTAATCAATGGTAAACAGTTTTCAATGAAATTAAATATAATGAGATGTTTACAAATTATCAATAAAATAATATTTCATTAATTAAATCATTTTTTAAGATTTTACAAAACTAAAATATTTGAACACATGTAGTTTTTACACATTTATTTCTAAAACCATGTATGTTTTATAATAATTTGTATTAATTTTAAAGGAAATTACTAAAAATTTAACAGTGGGTATATATTGCATTATTTACATTCATTGAAAATTTTTCTCCCCAAACCAAATATAAGATTGACAACGTAAGATAGCATATCTCAAGTGGTTGGAATTAAAAGCGTATAAAAAGAATGTTTATTTAAGTGATGTTTTAAATTTGAGTTATGAGAATTAAAAAAAAATAGCGTTGAGAGAACTTTCTTTTCTGAAATATATGGATTGGTTTGATTCAGTTTAGTGAATTAAAGTGTGATAGAAACTTTAAACACTAAGAATCTCAGAAAAAAGGAAAGAAAGTGGGTATCATATGGAAATGTAGACACGTAGGAACAACAATAGTGTTGAACAACAGGAATTGGTCTCCTTTAAATGTAAATGGAATGACAAAACAAACAAGCAATGGCAGGAGTTCATGAATTCACTTAGATAATGTCATTAGGATAGTGATTATTCTATTTGTTGGAAGTGACATAGGCTTCTCAAATCCCGTTCATTTCATGTAACTGGGACTTGGCTCGTCTTAATTCTACGTATTTAATTAATTATTATCTTTTTTAAGGTGAAAAATAAAAATTTGTATTAATATTGATTAATTTTCGAGTTTTTTTTTAGTTACTGAAAGGACAATATTAAGTCAAAATAGAACTTTTAAATAAAAAATTACTTAATAAATATAAAGATGTAGATATATAATATTTTTTTCTCTTTTTATCACATTATTTATCTTGTTTTAGATTTTATTACCTTCTAATAATAGTGATAATAATAATTTTTGGTATGTATTGAATATTTACGATGCTTTGTACTATTTATTTTTTCTTCTCTTTAATATTTTTGTTAAATATTAACGAAAATTTCAAAAGTATATTTTAAGAGATCAAAAGAGTAAATTCTATTGAAAATAAAAGTATTTATTATTTTTTAAATATAATAATTTTTAAATAAAAATTAACCAAATTTAGATATTTAAAATAAGTTTTAAAAATTGATAATATTTTTTGTTTAATTGTATTTTTCTCTAATTTAGACTATGTGATTTTAATTTTTCAATTTTTAAAACTACTTAAAGGTTTATTTATAAAATTAGCTGATAAGCTAATTAAAAGTTGAAAATATAAATGAAAAGCGAAAAGTTAAAAACTTAACTGATTGAATGGAACATAAACAAAAAATTAACTATTAGAATAACTTATAAATATAAAATAATAAATAAACATATTACTATAAAATATAATAAAAATAAAGTTTATGAATCATATATCTTTTAAAAATTAAAAAAATGAATTTTTAATTATTTATTATTTTTAAATAAGATAAAAAAATTTAAATTTTACTCTTATGTAAAATATTTGAATATAAAAAATAATATTTAATAAATTTTATTTATTTATTTATTATTTGTGACATATTTTCTTCTTTTTAAATGTTATAAAAATAAAGTAAGATTTAAAAATTAAATGAGTAAAAATAATCATTTCCAATTAGTCGTTAAAAATAAGCGCTGGTATAAATAGGTGGAATTGTTAGTATTTACTCATTACTATTTTATGAGAAATTTTAATTTTTACTTAAAATTTGTATAAAATAAAATAATTAATTTCAAAATTTTAAAATAACTTCATATCCCAAATTCATGAGAAATCTTCAAATGATTGGATAATAAATAATTTTAATTCATCAAAAGAACTTAATCAACTAAATGGTTATTTTTTTTTTTGAATTCATCAAACTAAACAAAGCATTAAGGATATTTATGAAAGCAGGGAAAAGTGGGAGCTGTAAATTGTAAGATGTTTAACACGCGCAACACCTACGCGTCCGTACTGTGTTAGAACGTAGATATAGATGAGAAAATAAACACGTCCGTGCATGACACGTTTACCATAGAACGTAGATGCTACTTTTGCATGAGTCTAATCGCGTAACGTTTTGTGATTGGGTGGTGCTTCTTACAAGAAATCATGATCTTATTATTGCCTTCTAAAGCTACGTAGGGGACCCCGAGTATTTTCTACTTTTCTCTACTTTTAATAAGAGTAAAAGGAAATTACACGAGAGAAAAAGAACAAGACGAAAGAATACAAAAGTTACCAAAAGAAAGAATATGAAAGTGGAGAATCAAGAAACCAAGTAGATTTTGTTTGATTTTCGCGTCAAACAAGCAGAGCCCGAGGATTTGTGGAAACCAGTTCAAAGGGTAAGGGAAAAAAAAAGCGAAAGCTTTCCTTGAGATTTTAGCTTTTTTATTGGATTAGACTTGATCTTTTTACTTAAAAAAGCTACAAAATGGAATAAAGAATCCCATATACCTAACTCCAAACCCAAGTGGCTTCACTTTCAGATTTATATATGTTTTACTTTTTCCATCTTTCGAGTTACTAATTTGAATTGAATCCAAAAGGAGTAGTGAGTATCACTGTTAACTACAATTGATCGATCGTAGCTAAGGACGAAACAAAATTCAACCGAAACATCAAAGCCAGTTAAAATTGTCTCAGATAAGACACATATACATGTAGTGCGCGGTCCAAATTGATGATTGGCACGTAGGTTCTTAAAGATTAAAAATCCCGAGAGACAAAGGGAAAAGGACTGGTTGACATGCACTAGCTAGTTTGCTTGATAGGTTGAAAGTGACGCCAAACAATTAGAGTCATTAAGCTGTACTTATATATATCTATACGTGTCATACATCACGAACCCAAGTGTTGAATCGCTACGATCTTGGCCTTTCCCACAGGCTTAATTTAGATTTAATTATTTATATGTATGTATGTACGCATATGTGACTCATCAAATCCTCAATTGACAGCGCAAAGGAGCAAGATTGATATTAATTTCGCCCCAAAAACATTGATATACAACATGGCTACGGCGTTGCTGGGGGAGTAAAAATATAAAAATATAAAAATAAAAAGGAGAAAATGATGACAATGGGTGAGAAACAAAAAGAAAAAACAATTTATTAATGTAAAATAATTATGTGATAGACAAAGGTTGATGAGGGATTCTGGAAAAAATTTTGTGTCCAGGTGCAAGAATAGCCAAGGGATCAAAATTGGCCTTTCTCTGGACGAATGTGGACCACTTATCTCCATAGTGTCGCATCCAGTTCTCCTGTGACTGGTAGTGAGGGAGATATAACTTGAAATCAAAGCCTCTGTTGTAGCATAACTGAATAATGGCATGGTTTTGATTTTGTGCCACCAACAGTTCAGTGGGTGGTCCCTTTGGGGGTGGTGGAATAAATCGGAGCAATGCTATAATGTAGAAGATGTTGCTGTCCGGCACCACTACCGAGTGTCGACTATCCCACCTGAATTACAAAACAAAATAAGCGTATATAATTAATCAATTGTCTAGCTAGTGACTTTATATTAAAAATGAATCATGGGAATTAAATTAATTTTCCAATCATATATGTGTATAGTAATTAGTGTGATGATAATGAAATTAATTAGTGCATGAGGTCAATTCATTAATGGGTCGCGCATGACTTAAACCAGTTACAGATTAGGCAAGGTGGGGATGGGGAGGGGACCCTCTAAAAGAACCAAATTCTAATCCCCAGAAGAGAATCGCCATAACCCCTGTGTATGTGGAACCAGAAGGGCCATTTTGTTTTGTTTGTCAGAAATCAAATCTCGTTTCTAGAGTCCTTACAAAGACCGGTGTCGCTGTAATCCGGTTGGCGAATAAATATCCTTGTCCATTCTAATTGCCAACACTCACCACGAAAGATACCTTGTTCCCATGGAATTAATCAACAAAATCTCGTTTCCCAGATCCGTAGAGAATTTCCTACTAGTGGTTTTATAGATTGTGACCTCGCGAATTTTATCTATAAAGTCGGGAAGATTCAAATTTTAGAGCTTTTACGTTGAGAGAGACATTATCTAATCGCCCAACCTTGACTCAAACATTTAAGGATTTTTAGGTAACAAAATGAGACAAAAAAATATTTATCACATTAAAAATATAAGAAAAAAGGACTAGTTTTATAAAAAATAGAAAAATGGAAAATGAATTTGAATTGACGCACAGGCTGATGAGTTTGTCCCGATGGAAAGGAACAGGTTGAAGTTAGGGTAAGCGCCAACCGCGGGCAGGGAGTGAAAAGGAATAGAAATGCAGGGGTCATCCTGTACGGACATCCGCAGAGGAAGATGGTACAACCGCAGAAGTATGATGAAACAGCTGAGGTTACCTTACGACCAAAAGATGGGGATGGGTGGGGTCCCACTTTGCCTTGACACACACCAAAGATCTTAACCACCCCTCGTTTCAAATTGGTGGTCCACACCCAAGCTCACTATGCACATAACATAGACCCAAAGCCCTCACCTCAGGTGATTCACATACGTGGGACCCACACCCCATATCCCTCTTCCGTTTCATTCTTCCCCATATATGCACCACTTCATGTCGAGCTCAAGCTCACACCTCAACCAACCCAACAAACGCATTTAAATTACACACTCGCCCTATCCCTCAAGATTTTCTCCAATTAATATATATATATATAAATTTTAAATTTGAAGAATAAAAATAGGTTCAAAAAATGATATATTTGATCTTTAGAAAATAGAAGGAATTGGAGTAACTAGTATACTTACTTGCTTCGCAATAGTGGGTACACGAGAATGGGGCCACCAACGCCGTGCTTGAGGATCTTCTTGAACACTTCACGATCAAATTCAGCGATGTTGGACTTGGACACGAACAGGTTCAACCATGGGTGAGGTGCGTCCCAGATGCCGTTGGCTTTTGCTTCTTCCTCCACGCGCTTTACACGTAGCAGGAACTCCATGTACGTCACATCCACCTCGAACTTCAAACCCTCAATGAATCCTAGCCGTCCAAGCAATCTATCCACCTCCTACGATAATAAATTGAATGAGTGTTACCACTGACCCGAGGGTATTTACGTCATTGGGAATATGTTTTTATTTTCCTACAGATTCCAGAAAATGATGCATTTTTGGCAACTGTGGGGACCGTAACGTCAGCGAGATCTCAATGATCAGAGCAATGGAGCACCCCACTGATGTTACATGACCATTTTAACCTTAACAATTTTATGCTATTTCCTAAGGTATCAGGGCACGCAAGGTACAGTCCCGTTGGGTAATTTGAAGCGAAAAACAATGGCTTTTTTAGGAGAGGTGATGTGTCAGAAAATCCAATGGAAGATACATTATGACCGAATAGTCAGTTTTCAGGAACCATTGCCATTTTCTCTTCAACTAGACTCAACTCCATTATGACCATCAACAAATATAAATAGTAAAATAAAATCGCAAACATTAACCCAAACGATCTGTGACGTTGTGTAAGCAGACAAGAATTAAATAAACCACCCTCCTTCCCTCAACTTCGTACATGTGTAGGTGAATCTTCGTCTATTGACTTTTTTTACCAGGGACCCACTTCAAATGCTTCCTCTATCGCTAAGGTAACTTGTCTTTTGTTAATGGTTAATTCTTTTTATTAAATTAAGCGACCCACTGAGTCATCATTGGCCAACACTCAGCCCGACCCCATAATAAAAGACAAATCGCAAACCCCAGGCCCTGTCATGCCGAATAAAAAAAATATTAAATATAATTACCATATTAACATCGGAAGGGGGGTCTGTGTTACGATAGTGAAAGGCAAGTTCTAAGCAATAGAGAACCGGGCCAGCGCTGGAAGGGACATGAACCGGGTCGAACCGTTGGTTCGAGCCCATGGGCACCGTGGGCCATCCGTTGCAAGTGTCATTACTGTTCACAAAAACGAACCCTTCCACGTAGTCAAAACCGTCACCTTCTCGGAGACTCACCAGCCACTCCGCATCGCTAGTGTAGTCCTCAAATTCCGAGTAAACCACCCTTATCCATCTCACCTAGTAACCCCCAAATAAATAAATAAGTAATATTTTTTATTTATAAAAAATTAAAGAAGAAAAAATAATTTGTATATTTAGTTTAGCGCACCATATCTGGGGCTTGTTGAAGAACCACACGGGCTCTGGTTATGATACCGAACTGGCCCAGCCCACCAAGCGCCCCAAAGAAAAGCTCAGAATTTTGGGTTTCGGAGCAGACCAAGGCATCGCCTTTCCCCGTAACGACTTCCAATTCCGTTACGTTGGACGTTTGCGGGCCGTAACGGAAAGCCTGGCCGCTCACGCCGGCGTTAGAGAGCGTTCCTCCAACCGTTAAACCGAGGTAATCGGTCCACGACCTCGGAGCGAGGCGAAACTGCGAGACGCAGCGTTTAAGCACTTCTTCCCATAATGCCCCTCCCGAAACGTCGACGTATAGGGACCCGTCGAGATGGAGGAGGTTAAAATGGTCCTCCATGGCGCGCATGTCGAGGACGAGTCCCTTATCGGCCATGGCTTGCCCGTTAATGGAGTGGCCGTTGCCGCGCGCCGCCACCGTGAGGTGGGGAGTACGCGCCGCCTCTTTCACCGCGTGAGCGACGTCGGCCGCGGCGAAGGGTTTTATGTAGGCTAAGGGCTTGGCGGATTTCATGCCGCCGAAGTCCTTGGCGGCGGCGGAAGTGGCGGCGAAGCGGAAAGCCGATTTGAGGGCTGAAACGTCCTCGTTTGGAATGGGTTCGGTGTCGTTTCCGTGGGGCAAGTGTTGGAGATAGGCTATCATGGTTGTTGTTGTGGAAGGTGTTGGTTTTGCGTATTTTTTGTGTTCCCTTTCCCCCTCTTGCTTTGAAAGTACCATTTGAGTTTGAGCCTTTGAGAGTGTGTTTTTTTTTTTTTTTTTTTTTTTTTTTTTTTTGAGTTTGAGGTGTGTGTGTGCGCGCTTTGCTGCAGGTCAAGTTTCGCCTTAAATAGCGGCTGCTTTGGATTTACTTGGAATTTTCTTGTCATAGATACAAAAGAAAAGATAGAAGTTCCAGTTTCAGATTCTATTAAATTAAATAAATTAGCACGCTATAAAGGTTCTAATTAATTATAAATGTTATAAATTAGCACGCTGTAATTTTTCTTTCATTTCATCATTTTCTTTTGCCATATTTGCAAAATTAATTGTAAAAAGAAGTAATTATGGAGACGTGGCAACATAGTAGATGTAAAAGATATTTTCAAGGCTGGTTTTTTTATATTATTTTCAAAGAGATATTAATTTTTTATGGTTTTATTAATTTTAATCTTTAATATTAAACTTACGTATCTAATATCATTTTAAAAATAAAATATTTATTATATAATAGATACACAATTTAATAAATATTTTTTAATAAAATGTTATTATTTTTGTATGTTTAAATTAACTTTTAAATTTTGAAGTAATCAAATTGATTTTTTAATATATGTAAGTTAAACAATTTTTTTATTAATGTATTTTATACATATAAATTTAAAATCAAAGATATAGATATTTTTACATCTTTAAGAAATGTATATGCTCACAAAAAGAAGAGAGACGTAAGACTGAAAAAAGAAAGAATGTGAAAATAATTTGAGTATAAAATAAAATATTATACAATAAATAATATGGTAAAGTAGAAAGAGAAATACAAAAATTAAATAAACAGTGCAAAAATTTGGGTATAAAATATTAAGATTATATAAATAATTCTAACTAGACTACGAGGTCAATGAGGTGTGGACTAGTTAACCACCGTTGGTTAATTGGAATTTTTAAAATATAAATACTTTTTAAAATCTGCGTTTAAAAATATATTACAATTTTAAAAATAATATTTTATATCAAAATTTATAACATGTAATATTATTAATATTTTCAATTTTATAATATATATTATATATAAATGTTTATTGTGTGCTCTTACTTTTTAAGATATATATTAAAAAATTGATAAAAATATATAAAAAAAGAGTTGTATAATAAATATTTTTCTATTTTGTTTTTAAAGAATAAAATTGTTATTAACTAATGCTTTATAATATATAAAAATTATAAAATTATATATTATTATATTTTTGAATATTATTTTAAGTTCTTAATCCGACTTTTAAAAGAAATTGGTTTGCATTTTTCCATGCTATTTTGGAAACATCTACTATTTTGTTTCTCGTCGAGTTATGATATCTTCACTTCCTTAAATGTTCTGTTGACGCTTTAGACATCAACTGTCTGCCACTTAAACTTTTTTTCGAAAAATTATTATTATTATTATTCCAAGCTACATTCGTGAAAATGCAGCCTCATGTTGCTCGGGTGAGCTTTTTCTCTGCTTCTTGTTCGTGAAAAAGTATTTTTAAATAAGTTTTTGCCCATACAAATAATATTATTTTGTAATTAAATTCTATAAAATAATATTATGATTTAGTGTAGAATATTTCATAGGAGTACAAAATTTGTTAATGTACAGAATTAAATGTTAACATAATTTTTATAAAGACTAATTTTTAAAATTATAAAAAATATCATTTAAGCCAAAAAAGAAAGTATTAGTTTCCTTCTAATTTTTTGTTTCTTTTCATCAGTATATGAAATTACATATAAAATTAAGAATCGGTCGTATTATTTTAATATAAAAGTTTGAGGTAATATTTAATATCTATTTTCATGTTGATTTAAAAGTATACTTAGACTATTTTTAATCAAATTTTAAATTAACTAAGTATGGTTATTTTTAATAATATCAGAAGTTTTTAATTCTGTGTTTTGTAAATATTTAGACCCCTACACTTCACACTCTATTCTTCATGATGCAAATGCGTTAAAATGTACCGCAATGATTAGGAACATGATGAAACTATTCTTCATAAAACTAAGGGCACTAACAAAATTCAGTACTCTTATTATTTGTCTTTACTACCTGAGTGCCTCACACACAATTATCGATTGATTTGTAATAATAAAATAAAAATATATTATTTTGTAATGATGAAAACTAAAATAATGTATAAATTGTATAAAAAAATCATACCAGTGAAGTAATTCACTCATAAATTTTAAAGTTTTACTCTCTATTTTTTGGTCGTCAAAACTTAGTCTAATTTTTATAAATATTTAAAAAAGACATGTACAGCTTCCTTTTTCACTCCCATTAATTTCACGTCACTTGAGGAGGATGTTTTTGTTTTTAGGTCCCATAAAAAATCTCTTCTCTCTATTTTTTCCCTCTCAAACAAATAACAAAAATTTAACATTATTATTTTTATTTCTTTTATTTTATATCGAACCAAAAATAATATAAATGTTATACTTTTCAATACTTCTTTTAATTTCTCAACCATTATTCTAGCAAAATTACACACAATTTTTGGTTAGACTTTTGGCTATTTCTACTTTTTTTTTTCATTTTACTTTATCGCATTGTGTGACCCCTACTATATCTATCAAAAAATGGTAAAATCATTATTTGACAATCTAAAATTTCCAGAAAGCATTTTCTAGTCCAGCTAACCTGGAGTTTATTTGCGGTTATTTACTACCACAAATTACAAGTTTTTTTAGCAGCTTTTAGCCACCACATATTGCAAGATTTGGGGTAAAAAAATACCTTAAGGGTTGCAAATCATAATATGAGAAATAAGACTCACCAAAACATAAAGTATAATTACATTTAGCTTTAACGCAAAAAGAAAAGCTAAAATGCTAAATGAACACATTAAAAGTTATTTGGGACCACATAGTTCATTACCACGTGGTGGTCATAATTAGTCATATTTTTACTTTACAAACATGCATGAATGAATAGCAAGTTTGCAATATAGAAATGCAAAAGGATGAATAAGAAAACTAATATAATACTCTTCTTAATTAGCTTGATGTACACAAACATCTTGTGTGGGATGAGTTAAAATCACCGTGTATGTGTTACTTTGGGTCACAAGCAATAGCACATATGATTGAAATGAAGTCAAGTATGAAAAATATCATCATTATCATCGTGAAAGATTTTTTTTCTCTGTCTTGTTTCAAAGAATTAGGAAACATTAATGGAGATGTTAACATATTTGTTTTAAACAAATATCCAAACATGATAGCTAATGATGCAGTTTTCCTTTGGTCGATATTAAAAAATTGGATTATAGATTCACTATTTTTTGAAGTAAAACAATCAATTGAATTGATCATTTTATGACTTGGCAAGACAAATGGAAATTACAAACTATAATGCAAAGCTCAAAATATCATATTACTTACAACCAACTGTTATAATAATAGAAAAGTAAATGGGAAAAATAAGAGCCTCTTTGATTTCATGTCAATTTTATTATACTATTTATTTAACATGTTTGAATGCTATCATTATTAAATTTTAAAACTAAAAAATAATATAAATATAATATAAATATAACTATAATTTACACTATGTACAATACAATTTTTTAATATAAAATTATTAATTTTGTATATATTTATTAATTTTAATAAAAAAAAGTTCAAGAAAAATTTAAAAGTGTATACTCTTCTCAAGTTTATCTTATTTAATTATGAGTATTCTAACAATGTATATGTGTATTTCTACTTTTTAAAAATTATTATTAAAATATAAATATATAAATTTTTTAAATAACAACTACAAGTGTAATAATAAAAAAATAAAAAATTATTATAAATATATATTTTTTAAAATTTATGTATTAATTTATATAAATAAAATATATAAAAATTATAAAAATAGTATAATATATAAATAAATATTTGTTTTAATATTTTAAAAATAAAAAATAGCATATATAGTATAAGAAATAAAAAAAAAACAAAAGAGGAAGAAGAGAATGAATAAATGTGAAGAAAAAAAAATTACTTACAATAAATAAGACCTAAGTGAAAAAAAAATAAAAAATAAATGTAGAGTTAAGTGTAAAAAAGACGAAATATAAAGTGAAACGTATGAATATAACAAAATTTAATTAAAATTAGATAATATATATAACAATGTCTCAATATTTTTATTATTCTTATCTTCAAGTATTTCCATTTCAATAAAAGACAAATTGCATGAAGTTATTTAAATACGAGAAAAAATCCACACCTCCTCGTTGGAAAAAAATTGAAAAGCGTGCCTTCGCAAAGCCACCATGGATGATCTGATTTTTTATTTTCTTACAACACCAAACTAGTAAAAATTAAAACAAAAGAAAAGTCATTGGCAAAAAGAAACATCGCACAAATAAATTGTACTTGTATTAATTAATAAACAAGAAGAAAGTGGTAAACTTATAAAGGTATTTCTAAGTTATAATATCTTTAATTTAAAATTTAATTATAATTAATAAGTATTATTATTTAATTGTTTCTGTTATTTAATTGCAATATTTATTTAAATTGATTGATACTTACTATCTTAAATTATTCTGTTGATATATTTGTTGATGTTATGAATTATATTTATTTCATTATTATAATTTATTTTAATATTTTAAATCACAACAACATTATTATTTTAAATTTATTAATTATATTTATTTTAATATTTTAATTTTTAAAAGTGTTTCAGGTTAATGATTTTATTTCTGAGTTGTTGTTTTATTTTAAATTAATATCTTGAACGACCTGGGAAGATTTTTGCTATATCTTTAAGTAAATAAATTATTCAGTACAATGTCATTTCACATATTTTAAGTTATTATTCTTCAATATTTACTACATGAACAAAGAAATAAAAAAAGTGGATTAATATTTCACTAAATATAAATGTTAACAGTTTATTCTTCAATACATTTTTAATTATTAGTTAAAATTTATTAAAATTATAAAAATTATATAAGTTTCACTTATAATTTAATAATTATCTTCCATAATTTTTAATAAAATTTTATTTTAACTAAAAATGTGTTACACTTCTCTTTCACCGAAAGATAGTAGCTTCACATGGATGACTTCATCACACTATAAACCCA